TCCCCGTTCACGGGATGTCTCATCCCGTTAAATACAACATAATGAAATTTTTATCCTATATCCTGTCCCATATGCCAAAAGTGTAATGTCCCAAACGGGGCCACGATGCTACACACACACACACACACACACACACACACACACACACACACACACACACACACACACAACACACACACACACACACACACACACACACACACACACACACACACACACACACACACACACACACACACACACACACACACACACACACACACACACACACACACACACACACACACACACACACACACACAATGCAGAGAACGGAATCCAAAAGCTAAGGAGGGTCCGTATACAATGCTCATCAGGCAATGAGCACTGGTGATGAGCCATCTGGGCCGTCCAGATCTAATCTGGACGGTCCAAATTTAATATTTTTAAATAATTATTTTAAAATAGAAAAAAATATATTTTTAAAAAATGATAGTTAGGAGATTATCTTTATTTTTAATCTTATACCTATTAAAATAATTATTTTTAAAAAAATAAAAATAAAAATAAAATAAAATCTGGACCGTCCAGATCAGATCTGAACGGTCCAGGTCTAATGAGCATTGGATGCTCATCAGTTTTGATGAGCACCCAATGCTCTCCGGCTAAGGAGGGGGCTGAGTCCAGAAATCAAGATTAATAAACCAAAACCCATAAATCCATAAATCAAATAATAGGAAAATCATAGCACATATATTCTTCTTCTCAAAATATGAGCCAGAAATATTAAAAATATTGTGAGATCTACGAACCCGTGCTTGCTGTTGTCAAATCTAGGTGCTCATGTGCGGGGAAAGAATTGTCTGTCCAAGAAAGATTGCCAGAAAGTTTATTATTGGGTTATTATGTAATTTTAGGATCTAAATATTGTAATTTAGAAAAATGTTTTTTTCCCTAGTATGCGTGGAGATCAAGTCTAAGCATACCTATTCCAAGTCCCAACGGCTATATTTCATTTTGGAAATTGAGCATTTTCCCCTTTTTCTTTGGTCATGCTTTTGGAAAATTATTACGGATATAATATTAAAAATCTTTTCTAGATTTTATTTTCAACGGCTAATATTTTCCACAGCCATCTATTATTAATTGCTGATTTGCGGCATGGATATACCAATCTGCTTTCAACAGCTATAATTCATATTTTTGGCCAACGACTATAATTCATTTGATAAATTGATTATATTTTTTCCTTTTAACAATGTTCAAAAGTCTTTTCCAGATTTTATTTCCAACGACTACTATTCTCAATGAACGCTCTCTAGTCAGTTCATTCTATTTAACCCCAGGAGCGTAAAGGAAACCGTTTGGTGATTTCGAAGAAAAACTCTCTAAGGAAGCCCCAATGAAGAAGCATCGCAGAGCAGAGGTATTCTTTTGTGCCCTTTTATTTTGATGCTTCAGTTTGATGTGGATGATGCACTTGCTTCTCTGCCATGGCTACTGTGGTAGTCCGACTTGCTCCTAAGGATTTCATTCTACATGTGTTTCGAAGTTTCTTCATAAGTGGGATTTTCACTGCTCGGCTAATTTTATCATACTGAGCCCGAACTATTCTTATCGCTCTGCTTTTCAAATCATTTCTTGCAGATTCTTTTACGGTTTTGAGGGTTTATGAGCATCTCATGTATAAACATTTTAGTGGCAGTATGGCTTGGTTCCATTATATAGGCCTCCTAATGTTAACGCAATATTCACCTGTAAAAATTGCTTTCTCTATGCCTTTTTTAGACATCTAAATTACAGTGCGACATTGTTTTATTAACTTGAAAATAAGTCATAAGACCACAAGAGGCGTGGGACCACTGTTAGCTGCGATCGTCTAATGAGAATCAGACAGCGAGCATTGGGCATTTGGACATCGATAAGCGTAGGGCGATCCTATAGAAAGAAAGGATCAACAAAGCAGGTAACAAGAAAGTGAACTTGGGTCTGTAGCTGTTTTGGTGTGTTTTATGCACTATGGTCTGTCTCTTTTTGCTCACTTGTGTCCCCAAGTCTATCTACATTCATTCGTAACTAAGTATACAGATTATATATGTGAGTCCTTTTGTTGATTTTTTTGTTGTTTTGGATGCTATGTCAATATTTGAATGAATATTTAGTTACGAATGAATGTATACTCATCAATGTATACTTTCTTATAACATACACTTAAACCCAGGATATCAGTTTTCACATGCACTGGACCAAAAGATTTCTTTTTTTTTATTTATTTATTTGGTATCAATCATTGACTAAGTTTTTGGAATATCCAAGAATGGCAGTTTGCTAAGAGTAGTCCTAGTCCAATGACTTTCTCTGTCACTATCTTTCAATTTCAGGTGATAGCTGGAATCATTAATATCAAATAAAAAAGGAAGAGAATGATGTAAAGATTTTTATTATATTTTAGGATACAAGTTTGGGGTCTTTCGCGAGGCTCTCACCAACTCATCTACCACAAATAAAAAAAATATGGACTATCCACATTGAATTTGAATAATTTAAAGACAAATTTAGGGGGGAAAATCCCATTAAAAATTTTATTGGCGAGGATAATCTAAAACCAAATTCTGATAATCTATATGTATAAAATTTGTAAGAGTATCGAAACTTTTCGTATACGTAGATGCCTGCAAGTTGCAATGAGATGAAAATTTATGTTTACTTGGAGCTGCTTAATATAAAAAAATTTACGTAAATTAGAACAAAACTTATATTACATACATATTTTATATTTCATAAATTATGATTGGAAAACTATTTTTAAATATTTTAATGGTCATTCCAAATAAGTTCTACAAAATAGCCAGTTTGGCAAAGTGATAGGACAGCAAACAAGACCCATGTCTTAGGAGTTCCTTTCCATTTGAGAATTCTTTCGCCTCTTATTACTGTCAAAGGGTTTATTTGAAATGACTTATAAATAGTTTTTTAATGGTAATTTGTTAAATACGAGAAAAATATGTGACAAGAGTTTTGTCTTAACTTACGTAAAAACACTTATAAGCAATTACAAACTGCTAATCCAAACAAGCCTAAAAGCAAAGCTTCCACGCCACAAGCAGTGGAGAGTAGCATGGGTTTAAAGGAATTTTCAAGCCCTCCTTCAAAACCACTTCACCACTGTATTTTTTTTTCCAATTTTTTTGAGCGCCAACTATATTGCTGTATTATCTTGTTTATAAGGTATTTTAATATATTTTATCATAATAAAAAATCTTAAACATCATTAACCATATATTAAAATTTAATAACTTTTTAATTCTACTTAATTTAATACTTGTATTTTAATAAAATAGTAGTTTACATAATAATAGATCAAAAGTAAAATCATACATTTATGATTTGTATAATAAATTTAGGAAATTTGGTTAAAAAAAAATCTCTGTGTAAAAACTTAATGGGATAAAAAATCCTAAATTTAAGTACGTGCAATCATGATCTGTGAGTGTAACTTTTCTTCTGTTATCAGTAACATATCTTTCACTGTATGCAAATGACTTTTATATTGATGATTGTTGCACATCATTGGTGATATGTTGCACATAGCAGAAAAAAGTTGTACCCACTCAAATTTAGGTTCTCTTAGCCAATTAAGTTTTCAAACAGAGATTTTTAACCAAATTTTTCATAAATTTAATATCCAGGAAAAAATTTAATAAGACGACTTGAATGCTCTCTCTACCGAATAATAGACCAAAAAGAATGCTTTCTCTACCTTACAAATCAAACCAATACATACATATATATATATATATATTATTTTGACCAGATAAGTATATGGTCCACAAAAGCTAAACATATATTATTTTGACCAGATAAGTATTTGGTCCATAAAAGCTAAACATGGCCAGATTTTCAGAGTTGAAGACTAACCAAGGTTGGAAAATAAAAAACAGTATTGTAAACACAATTGTTAGGGCCCTAGCACATACCCAAAAAGAATCTAAAGCCTAAAATGATGTGGTTTTCCCCTAGCACACAGCAGGACGTTCTTAGTGGATAATCTATAAGTACTTTTGTAAGCGCTTCATGAGTTTGGAGGCTTGCCCTAGTCCTATGAGTTCTCAAGACCCAATTCACAAACTTTTTTATAGCAAAATAAAAAAAATACTCATACAACATCATGCTTGATTTTTATGAATGGTATCTTAATTTTGGATCCCATGATTGTCTGGAGCCGCTTAATATAAGCACTTGTGAATACTTTTATGTAAATTGAGATAAAACTTTACCTACATACTTATTTCATATTATATAAATTATGATTGAAAAGTTACTTTTAAATATTTGAGTTGCCATTCCAAACAAGCTTGGATCCTTCTTTTATACTTTGCCCCAGAATGACTTTGAATTTTTCCAAATTAAGTTGGAATAGCTTATAATAAGCAACTTTTCAATCGTAATTTATGACAAAGAAGATAAATATGGGAAAAAAATTGTCTCAACTTATATGAAACTTATAAGTACTTTTGAAGGTGATTTCAAACAGACCATAAATCAATAATTTAAAATAAAAGTTACAGAACAAAGTTATATTTTCTCTAACACAGTAACACTAGTCCAAAAGCTTTGCTCCGAGACACTTCTACTCATTAAATATGCATTAATTGTATTTTTTGGAAACAAATAAGTGTAACAAAAATATGCTATTCCGCTATTGTGTCAACGGCCTTGGTCCTTGTGGCATAATAATGGCATACAAACATCTCTGTAAGTAAGTTGAGGAAAAAATTTGACTGAATTAAAAAACATAACCTAAATAATTGAACTAAATAGACTACAAATTTTGACTCAGTTTTGTCTTTCATATATGAACCCATCCATTTTGTGTTCAGAAAATTCAAAATTGTTTTTTGTAAAAAGTTATTACTAGTTATGACATTCAATTCAATATGAAACATAATTGTGTGAAAGAGTATAGCACAAATATTTAATATATTAATCACGAATAATTAACTATATTAAAAATGAGGGAATCGATGACCTTGAACATAGATATATGTATATTCTTATTTTCATTCCTAGTCTATAACTCAATTACAATAATCGAAATGATTATTAGAAAACATCTATAAAAGCAAGTTCAAGATGAACATTTATTACATTCAAAGCACAAGTCCAGAAGTATGATTCCTGATTTAAAGCTATACCTTAACTACAACAGCGTAAGGTTTGGTAGCCGACCCAATCCACAATTTCCCATAATGTTCTTTCACTTCGCTCACAGACTCAAGCTCTGGACCTCCTCTTCCATCCAAAACCTCCAAAGTCTTAGCCTTCTCATCAAACTTCACTCCCACAGGGTCATCCCCTAAACTCTCATTAGTATTAGCATTTTCCGATGATGTTCTGTTACTGTTCAGACCCACCCAGAAATCCCCATTTTTCTTTCTCTTGATGTTATCTGGTGGCCTTTCAAGTTGTGTAAAGAGTTCTGAGGTGTAATTCTTGGAGCCTTTGAGCCAGAACTTTGTAATCTTTCTTGAACTTGTTTCTGCTACCAGAAGGAATGAGCCATCCTTGTTCAAAGCCACACCATTTGCAAATGCCAAGCCTTTCAGCAAGATCTCTACTTTCTTAGTTTTCGGATCATATTTCAGCAATCTTCCTGTTTTATCTCCTTTTTGGAATATCATCTCAACTTCCCTATCGCAAAGAGGAAACTAATTACAATGATTACATTAAGTTTCTCTGATTTTTTCCTCAATTATGCCTATGTAATGATGAGGAGTCTATAAGAAAATTCTGTATTTGGATCTTGGTATATCATTATGATTATACTAAAAACCACAATGCTTAAAAAGACACTTGGGCAACACAAAAAGATAACATACTTTGAGACATTTATATGAGATTTCGACGAACGAATGTATAAGGTATTAGGAAATATAAAACAAAAACACCACCCTTAGCTCATCTCTCCTCGCTCAAGCAAGTCTTGGCTTTATTTCCTCCATTGTTCATCAATCCATTAATTCGGTGAAAAACATTTCATCATTTCATGATCACCAAATACATCCAAAGGTTACATTTATCTCGATGACGTATATCCTAATATTTAATAAGTTACATGACTTTTGGCCAAGTATCTTTGTTTAATCATATGTGGATAGCGAACACAACTGCGATTTTGCAATATTTAAGTAGACTTTATATAGCGACGTTTAATTGTGATCATATTCTATCATGTGGTTATAAAACCCTTGTTAATTATTCATATACCTTTAATGTAAAATATGCCTTTTCCTATCATAAGCGTCATCTAAAATGAAGTTTATCCAATCTTTTTTTTTTTTTTTGGGGTCAAAGAAGTCTATCACATCTAAAAGCTCATATATATGGTGTTATGATAAGTACATGTTCAAAAAAAAAAAACTTGGGTTCAAAGATTAGTGGATTAGAAATGAAAGCCTTTTAAACTTTTGGGATAATTAATCCGCAAGTCCTTATAGTTTCAACGAATTTTGAATTAGGTCCTTATAGTTTTTTTTCTTTTTATCAGATCCTTATACTTTCACTTGTTTTTAATTAGGTCCTTGTATTTATTTTTCTTTTTATCAAGTCCTTATAAGTTCATTTTATTTTTAATTAAGTCCCTGAATTTTTTATTCTTTATTTTATGAATTCTAATAGTACTATTATATAAACATAAAATAGTATATATTATTTAATATTAGTTTATAAACAATAATATTCTAACAATATTGAATTATTATAATGATTTTAATTTTTTCAGCAAAAAAATTAATTGTTCTAAAAAATTTTCCTGAATTAATTAATTCTATTATTTTTTATTACATAATTATTAATTTAATTTACTTATTAATATTTTATATTTCATTATTAATCTATTTAATTAAGCTTATATTTAATTAATAAATAAAAATTAAAACTACATGGACCTGATTAAAAATTTAATGAAATTATAAGGACTTAATTAAAAGAAAAATAAATACAAGGACCTAATTAAAAAAAGGTAAAAGTATAAGGATCTAATAAAAAGAAAAAAAACTATAGGGACCTGATTGAAAATTCGTTGAAACTATAAGGACTTGCGGATTAATTAACCCTAAACTTTTAAACCCCACTTTACTTGTGAGGCTTGCTGGCATGAGACTTTTATCAAATAGCTATGAAGATAAAGAAGAATATACCTTCTTTGGTAAACGGTGCTGCTTTCTGAGAAATAAACCACGCCTGTTAGGCTATCAACATCTAAGCCGTTAAGGAATTTGAAAGGAGCATCGCCATCGTAAGCAGAAATGGCTAGTTGTTTGGCCACACCACCACTAGGCGCGACCATTAGTAGCCCAAAGTACGCATCTGCTATATAAAGATTACATGTTTTCCTGTCAAATTTGAGTCCTAATGGGCTCCCACAAGTAGCCTCCTTGTTTGGATCTGTGGATCCATCACATAGTTTCCTATCCCTATAATCAAACATTTGAAAAATGCTTAGGTAGAAAAAGCCAAAATTTCAAACTAAGAAACGCAGACTTCTACACAAACCAGCTAAGCCCAATATAGTTATGAGGTTTCTGCAGATCATCAATATCACATATCATTTTTTTGAGTCAGAATTTTATGAATAGCTTTAAATTCTGAAGTTGGAGATTCTTGCCTGTTTGGTGAGGTGACAGCAAACTCAACCCATCCTTTCTGAGTTCCTTGCCATTTGAGAATTCTACCATCTGATATACCAGTATATGGCCCCTCTCCGATACAGTCAAAGGCGAAGCTTTCAGGACCTGAAGCGCTGGGGAGTCTGAGTTGAATGGAGTTTTTCAAGCCATCCTTGAAAATCACTTCACCAGAAGCGAAGGTGAAGGTTGCTGCAAGTGAGACTAACAGAAGGAAAAAGAAAACTGAGGAAGAAGAAGAAGAAGAAGAAGAAGAAGGCCCCATGGGTTATAGTGATGGAGAGATCATCGAGAAATAAAGCATAGATATTTATATATGTGTGTGATATTGGAATGGGTGTCTTCCTCTCCCTCCCTGTCCTTTCGTCAGCGTGGATTAAAATTTTGATCCATTTTCATCAGCGTGGATTATAAATGTTTAGATTTAACATTTTAAAAAACCATTTTCATAATTTTACATAGAAAATATATAAATAAATTGAAATTGCTGAATTTTAGTTTAAATAGTTCAAAACTATATAGAGACAGTTTGATACTGTAGTGAAAAAAAATAAAAAAAAAATCTTTATAAGATCTTTCAATAATGTTCTATAATTATCATCTGTTGAAATTAGAGTTTTAATAGTTTGAATTCATTTATATAAAATCATAATAATAATTTTATACTACCTCCGGTCTTTACTATAAGACTCTGTTTGACTTTTATTTTGATCCTAAATATAAAACCCTAATCCACTTTGTCTTTCATATTTATACTTTTTTTTTTCCAAAGTAGCACTTCTAACAATGATAGTTCTAGTTAATACACTTGATTAGTAAGGATATTTTAGGAAAGATAACACCTATTTAAGACAAATAACTAACTCAATTTACCTCCTTAATCTCCTCAAATTAGTCAACTGGTTCTTATAATTAGGACCGGAGATAGTATAATATTAAATTTAAATGACTAAAATTTGGATCCAATAGTAGTTAAAAAACTTGCAAAGGAATTAACTACTCACTCTGAAAATTTTATTAGCGAAAGATTGAAGTCAAATGATCTTGTTTATTTGCTGCTTCCACATGTCAAATAGATGATCTATCTATTTGTAGACTGTAGATTAAATAATACTATCTCTGGTCCTTAATATAAAATCTTGTTTGATTTTTATCTTGGTTCTAAATATAAGACCCTAATCCACTTTGTCTCTCATATTTATACTTTTTTTAAAGTAATTCTTCTAATAATAATAGTTATAGTTAATACACTTGATTAGCAAGGATATTTTAGGAAAGACAATATCTATTTAGGACAAATAACTAACTCAACTTATTTTCTTAATCTCCTCAAATTAGTTAATTAGCTTTTATAATTAGAATAAGAGGTAGTATGTTTGACTTGAGAAAGATGAGGCTTTTGTTACCATTTGCATCTTATATCTAATTTTTGGTCCATTTATTATAATTTAAAATTGGACAATATTGAATCTTTATAACTTTTTAACATTATTTGCTCATGCCGGCATTAGATACGTTGACATGGTCTATTTAGTTAGTTGTGTTAATTAAAGATTGTGATTTGTCAATTTGTGACAGCGGCGTTATGAATTGCAGCTGCTTTTCTATGGAGTGTGTGTGTGTGTGTGTGTAAAGGTGGTTTACTTTCAAAATTTTCAATATATTTTCATTCTCAAAAGCCTGAAGTTTGACTATTGCATTTTCTTAATATTATTATAATTCAAATAAAGTAAGCCATATGTCAGCATACCCAAGTGGCTCCACAGCCAGTGGAGGAAAAATTTTCTTACCGTTGACTGATAAAAGGCCTAATGAAGTAATTAGCGTGTTCATGTCATGGGATGAGTTTGGGGCCACCATGTCATGTTTCCGTCTGGTTTTAAAAAAAAAATGTGATGTTCCCGTCTTGATAATTGGGATGGAACAGCTTTTCTACCTGTATTCCTTTACGTTCAAATAGCGTCCTATTCCATTAGACTATCTATCTTTTTTTTATAAAAAAATTTAACTTAACTTTTTTTAATTTTTTATTTCAAAACCACATATATTTGGAGCATAGAATCCCATGGTAAAACTTATGTAAAAATAGAAAAAAAAAGGATAAAAATTGACAGTAATAAAAAATTAACAAAAAATATTTCTTTTTGAAAGACAGTAAACATGTAAGCTCAAAGTATTCTCTAAAAAAACATTATATAACTCATAAAAAACTTATAAATTGTGAACAACATAATCATAAAAATTATAATATTATTATATTAATGATAAATAATTTTTTTTATAAAATTAAAAAAGATAATTTATGGTAACAAAACTAGGATGAGACATCCCGTCCTATGTCCAATCTCATTTTGGATATTTTTGTCCTCTATTATGTTTATTTAGTCCAGAAAATTTTTGGAATGGGATTGTTTTGTCCCAAAATAATTAGAACTAGGACGAGATTCGAATGAGTTCCCAGAAAAGTAATAATGAGATTTTGATGGATTCCATCGATTTCATTATTTCTCTCTTTTTAAAATTACCAAAGACTTTCAAACATCATAAATATTAACTAAAAACTCACTATTATATTAAATAGTTTAGGTAAAAGTATATAGGGATAATTAATCCGCAAGTCCTTATAGTTTCAACGAATTTTGAATTAGGTCCTTATAGTTTTTTTTTCTTTTTATCAGATCCTTATACTTTCACTTGTTTTTAATTAGGTCCTTGTATTTATTTTTCTTTTTATCAAGTCCTTATAAGTTCATTTTATTTTTAATTAAGTCCCTGAATTTTTTATTCTTTATTTTATGAATTCTAATAGTACTATTATATAAACATAAAATAGTATATATTATTTAATATTAGTTTATAAACAATAATATTCTAACAATATTGAATTATTATAATGATTTTAATTTTTTCAGCAAAAAAATTAATTGTTCTAAAAAATTTTCCTGAATTAATTAATTCTATTATTTTTTATTACATAATTATTAATTTAATTTACTTATTAATATTTTATATTTCATTATTAATCTATTTAATTAAGCTTATATTTAATTAATAAATAAAAATTAAAACTACATGGACCTGATTAAAAATTTAATGAAATTATAAGGACTTAATTAAAAGAAAAATAAATACAAGGACCTAATTAAAAAAAGGTAAAAGTATAAAGATCTAATAAAAAGAAAAAAAACTATAGGAACCTGATTGAAAATTCGTTGAAACTATAAGGACTTGCGGATTAATTAACCCAAGTATATATACCTTTGATTCTTTACTTTTAATTCCTGAAGGTTTTAATTTAGTTACTTAACTTTAAAAATTATATTTTTAATCAATCAACCATAAAAGTGTTGGTCTCAAGATGGGTTTATTAGTGGGCTATTATGTAATTTTTGGATCTAAATATTGTAATTTAGAAAAAATGTTTTTTTTCCTAGTATGCGTGGAGATCAAGCCTAAGCATGCCTATTCCAAGTCCCAACGGCTATATTTCATTTTGGAAATTGAACTTTTTCCCCTTTTTCTTTGGTCATGCCTTTGGAAAATTATTACGGATATAATATTAAAAATCTTTTCTAGATTTTATTTGCAACGGCTAATATTTTCCACAGCCATCTATTATTAATTGCTGATTTGCGGCATGGGACATACCAATCTGCTTTCAACGGCTATAATTCATATTTTTGGCCAACGACTATAATTCATTTTATAAATTGATTATATTTTTTCTTTTTAACAATGTTCAAAAGTCTTTTCCAGATTTTATTTCCAACGGCTACTATTCCCAATGAACGCTCTTTAGTCAGCTCATTCTATTTAACCCCAGGAGCGTAGAGGAAACTGTTTGGTGATTTCAAAGAAAAGCTCTCTAAGGAAGCCCCGAGGAAGAAGCATCGCAGAGCAGAGGTATTCTTTTGCGCCCTTTTATTTTGATGCTTCAGTCTGATGTGGATGATGCACTTGCTTCTCTGCCATGGCTATTGTGGTAGTCCGATTTGCTCCTAAGGATTTCATTCTACGTAAGTGGGATTTTCACTGCTTGGCTAATTTTATCATAGTGAGCTCAAACTATTCTTATCACTCTGCTTTTCAAATCATTTCTCGCAGATTCTTTTATGGTTTTGAGGGTTTATGAGCATCTCATGTATAAACATTTTAGTGGCAGTATGGCTTGGTTCCATTATATAGGCCTCCTGATGTTAACGCAATATTCACCTGTAAAAATTGCTTTCTCTATGCCTTTTGTAGACATCTAAATTACAGTGCGACATTGTTTTATTAACTTGAAAATAAGTCATAAGACCACAAGAGGCGTGGGACCACTGTTAGCTGCGATTGTCTAATGAGAATCAGACAGCGAGCGTAGGGCATTTGGACATCGATAAGCGTAGGGCGATCCTATAGAAAGAAAGGATCAACAAAGCAGGTAACAAGAAAGTGAACTTGGGTCTGTAGCTGTTTTGGTGTGTTTTATGCACTATGGTCCGTCTCTTTTTACTCACTTGTGTCCCTAAGTCTATCTACATTCATTCGTAACTAAGTATACATATTATATATATGAGTCCTTTTGTTGATTTTTTTGTTATTTTGGATGCTATGTCAATATTTGAATGAATATTTAGTTGCGAATGAATGTATACTCCTCAATGTATACTTTCTTATAACAGACCCTTAAACCCAGGATATCAGTTTTCACATGTACTAGACCAAAAGATTTCTTTTTTTTATTTTATTTGGTATCGATCGTTGACTAAGTTTTTGGAATATCCAAGAATGGCAGTTTGCTAAGAGTAGTCCTAGTCCAATGACTCTCTCTCTCACTATCTTTCAATTTCAGGTGATAGCTGGAATCATTAATATCAAATAAAAAGGGAAGAGAATGATGTAAGGAAGTGGGCAAATAGCAGTGCCTCCAGGGTTCTGGTTGCACCCAATAGATGAGGAGTTTCTTTACTGTTATCTGAGGAAGAAAGTCTCTTTTGAAGCCCTTAGCTTTGATGTCATTTGAGAAGTTGATCTCAACAAACATAAGCTTTGGGATCTCAAAGGTGTGTATATATATATACATCAATATATTCACATATGCGTGTCCATATAACATTTACCTCTATCCAAAAATCAAATTCATTGTAAATCATTGTCAGGCTAGCTTTTCTTCTCACATATTTTGGTCATAGTAATGGTGATGTGGTTTGCTTGAGTAAACCCAAAAAGCATATCATTGTTGTTCCCAACATATATATTCATTCTGCATGCATTGATATATTG